ACATTTTTTTTCTGTAAAGCCGTCCGATGTGTTTTGTTGGTTGTGCCACGTGTTGTTCAGCGCAATGCATATTCGTTTCCTGAAGCAGCTTCCAGCATGTGGGGTGAAACGTCGGACGTCGTGCAGAGCTACACGCGGTACAGGCCGAAAGCACGTCGGAGAGCCTTGCAGCACAAATGTGAAAACCTACGCGTAAAATCATTTTAAATATAGGTAGTCCCCGACTTACGATGGTCCCCGACTTAGGATATTTCGATTTTACGATGGCGATAGCGATATGACAAAATTGTACAATATTTTTAATTTCGTGCGGCAGGCAAACGCAGCAGCGTACGAGGTACGACAGTGTAACTTTATCATCGCCATCCTCCTCTTCCGACAACTAAGTTAATGTAGCCATCAACAACCTAACGTCGTTCAAGTATGCAGACGACGGACAGAATCTTGGTGAGCACAGTAGAATATGATACGTTACGATACATCCAATGCATGTATGATGCATAGCTTTAGCGATTACATTTTGGGGTTACCACGATACGATACATACGTTCAATGCATGTTAAAAGTTTTTTTTTATAGCAGATAGGATTGTCTCCTGAAAAAACTTTCTATGAAATTGCAGTTCATATAGGTAGGCTAAGAATTTATCTTGTTTTTTTACTTTAAATTTTACTGTGCAATACAGTATTGTACTTAATAAATACATACAGTATATAGTTTATACAGTACGGTACTGTAAATTGCTCTGTTTTGCTAAATTATCACCACTCCTGGTTAGGCAAGGCCATCTTCGACTTACGATATTTTCGACTTACAATGGGGTCGTCGTAACGTATCTCCATCGTAAGTCGGGGACTACCTGTACCCTTCCAAATCACCATCGAGGAACTCTGAACTTTGGAAGAGTGGCAACCACTTCTAGGATGAGAGTTGATGTTATTATAGAGTCGAGGGATTCTTAATCTTCCTGAGACTTGGTCATGAGAGTTTTAGGACTCAGGAATTCATCGGCGAGAGTTGCCCAGCTTATACCAAGGCTCTCGAAACACTGCAAGCTAAAGAGCATCCTTATATCTGCCCGATAACCACAAGCCACGGTGATGAAGTCGATAATTGTTAAAGGAAATGACCTGACTACTGAATGAGGTTAAAATGCAACGAGGATCTGATTTAGAAGTCAGACTTGCCGACGGTGCCGACGAATGACGTCGCCTTGCCCCCTCCCCCCCCCCCTCACAGGATCGCGAATCGCGAGCTGGCTGCCGAGTTTCTCCGTGGAAGTGATGCACAGCTCCAATCTCATCGGCCTCCCAGCCGTCACCAACTCCCAGCTCAACACCATGGTAGCCCCCACTCCGTGTTGCGCCGCACTTTCATGGAGACCCAGACTGTCGAAATCGGTTCGGAGGTGGAAAAGTCACTTGCAGTGTTGAAAACTCTCCGTGCGAATCACTCGATTGGGATGACACGGAGCAAGAACGCATCCCCACACCGCCCCCCCTCTACTGCGGAAACTTGGCAGAACCCTCCTGAATAAGAGTCCCGAATAAAGCTTTCCTGGCTAAACAAGCAAACTACTACTACTAACCACCACTGGTTTTCCCCATTTTACAATTTTCGTAGTTTTTTTAATGTGACGATCGATACGTTGCTTGGCTTCCGCAGAATCATGCCTGCGAGACTCTGTTATTCACATTTTATGCAAATGAGAGCCAGATTATACACCCAGCAGAACGTACGGGGAATTAGCGCAAACAAGACGGTCTCCCCATTGAATCGTCACCACAAATTGTGACAAGTCATAGCATGGGGGGGGCGGTGGTGGTGAGTGGTTGGCAGTGAATCATCACATGCTTAGCACATGCATCTGTAAACATGAGATGCTGGTACTCGGCTGTAACCCTGCAATGGTGGTAACCTGTTGGTGTGTGTGCGTGCGTGTTTGCGTGTACGCGCTGTGCAGGCACACCAGATCCAGGCCATGTTTCCGCAGGCGCCGTACCACGCCATCCTGCAGGACCTGCAGCTCACGCGCTCGGTGGAGGTGACGACGGACAACATCCTTGAGGGTCGCATCACCGTGCCCTTCCCCATGCAGCAGGTGGGGGGGCTCGGGGCTAGCGTCACGCACAGCGAGCGGCGTTCGACGCGCGGCCCGCCCACGAAATCGGTGATGGAAATGTTTTGCGAGCGGCCGAGCGTTTGGCTATTTTGTTCACCGTGCGGCGACTTTGAGAGGACGGCGATCGCGTGATGCGTGACGATGCGTGACGATGCGTCAGGCTGCTCACGGCTAGTTGAATCACAGACCCCGCGGTCAGTAATCGATTAATTAAATTACGTGATAGCTCGACTCGAAATCATTGAATCCAGTCGGGTGGTGCCGAGTGGTAAAATTACTCGGTTCCCAAATCCGAACTGGAGGCAAACTCAGCCAATCATTGCTTGAGGGTCATTAAATTGAGTAACACTTTACCGACAATTTGACGGTGGTCGTGTAACGGTCAGAATGACCACCACCGTAGGGTCAGTTCAGCGTGCCCAGGAAACCGTGTTCAGCAGCTGACTAAATACGTGGCACGTGTCCTGCATGTTCCCTTGTCCCCTTAGAGGCAAGAACCTGCTGGAGGGGTTCGGTTTGGGGGGCCCGAGAGCCCCCTAGCATCGGATACAGGCTCCCTACTGCAGGTATTTCCAATTACCAGCAGTTTTTATTGGCTGTGTGTGTGTGTGTGCGCTGGATTTTGTGAGGCGCACACAAGTCCTTGAGAGATCTCGACACAGTCCCATCATCGGTGAGCTGCTCCAGCAGGCGAGGCTGTGCTGGCTGGGTCACGAAGCCTGCATGCCCAACCACCGCATGCCCAGGCAGCTTCTATTTGGCCGTATAGAGGTGGCTCAACGAGCGCGGAACGCGCTGGAGAGGAGATGGAGCTGACATTTCGTCGAACCACGGAGGGAGCGAATCGCCTAATAGCTCTCGTCCCCCGCGACCCTCCCCCCGCGTCCCAGACGGCCGCGTCCAGGGCCGACCTCTCGAGCTTCTCTCCGCCCGTCGAGCGCCCGTCAGAGCCGGACAAAGCGACGGGCGAAGACGGCGGCAGTGGCGGCGACGACTCGGCCTACCTGCTGGCCGCCAGCGCCGACAAGGAAGAGGACGACATGCGGTCAGCGGCCGCAGGCGCCGCCACCCATCGCGAGCGGTTCCCCGGGAGCCCGCGCTTCCCCCCGGCCGGTCTAGGCGCACGCCATGATGACTCGGCCGGCAGAGGTGGGATTCGGTGTGCTCCAGTGATCTTGTATTGCGGGTGGTGCGTGGGGGAGGTGGATGAGTGGTCCGGTTGATGTTGTGGTCATGGGGTTTGTTTGACCACACTTGGTCGGTGTTGGTTGGTGGAAGGTCGGTAAACACATAATAGATTTAAAAAATAGAATTTCCATGCAATTACCAATGACGGTTAAGAAATCAAATGAACAGCTGTAATTGTATCTTGACTTAAAGCTTTCGTGACTGCAGGAATTCATATTCTTTGGGTCTTTCGGTAAAGTCGCGAAGACAGGTTTGTTTATTTTATTTTTATCTATTTGAACCTATCTACCTGACTTTACCGTAAGACCCAAAGAAAACTGTAATCGTGTTACCATGTTGGTGTCGGTGAACTCTGGTTGTTGTGGCTCATGCAATCGTGTGAGTGCAAGTAAAAGGTAAACCTGCAACCCAGAAATATTATTTGCTGTGGCAGAAGGACATCAGTCTGGACGGAGCTTGATCTTGGGGAGTATTCTAACCGGGACTTCCACGGTGGCCAGTCATCTTAGCAAGACGTGGGCATTCCCACACTGAATCCCACTGCACGTGACCTGCCAATTGGCTGTCACGGACCATTTTACAAAACTGCTGGGTAGACAGAAGCATTGGGGCGGGTAGGGGAGGGGGGTCTGCAGTGGTTTGGGGTGGCTTAAGAAACTTGCTGCACCATTGTTTCTGCTCTCACACCAAAGCAGCGATCTCTGAACGTCAAGTCCAGCTTGGTGACCGTTAGACCTCGACTGCAGCAGCGTCAGTAGTATCAGCAGTAGTAATAACAGCAGCAGCAGCATCAGCTTCAGCAGTGTCAGCAGCAGTATCATCAGCAGCAGCAGCAGCATGTGACCGAGGGGCTCCACTGCGAGTGACGCGCGAGTGCCGTGCGCCCGTTCGCAGGAGTGGACGATGCCGCGGCGGGCGTGACGAGACCCGAGTGCGAGACGACGGGTGGGCGCTTCTCCAAGTCGGCGGAGGAGCGCCACCGCATGCTGCAGCAGCGGAAGGAGCAGCTCGTGTGCCAGGCGCGCAGGCGAGTGCCGCCCGCTCGGGACCGCCCCCCCCCCCCCCATCTCTTCTGGGGGGGCCTCCCCTATGTTGTGGTGGTAGCGGGGTTCACCGCTTGGTGCAGAGGTTCACGGTTGGAATGTCTGATGAAAAGGAACGATTGTCCGTTTTTTTATTTGACCCGAACGGTTTTTAAACAGACCGTGAGTATGACACAAGCTTTAAATTAATAGACAGACTCAAACAAATAATACATAACCTGACTTATAGTAAAATAACATCCTTGATTGTGACCGAAGAACTGCATCACAGGAAAGCCAATAACGTCTACGAGTGACGGTGCCAGCCGCCAGTGTAACTTCTGCTTTACCGGTGCGATGTTGTCTGTCACACCACTAACGGGCGCTCGCTAACAACGCTTGCCCACGTGGTCTATGCTGCTCACCTTGGCGGCTTCGTCTCTCTCTTTGTGTGTGTGTGTGCACGTGCGGCCACAGAAAGTACCTGGTTCGGCCGTCGACAGAGTGGGGCGCGGAGGGAGGCATGGGAGGCACGGGGAACGTGGAGATGGAGCGCACGGACCCGGCCTCCGTGCGCAGACGCACGCTGGCAGCCGCCATCAGCAACCGCCTCCCGCACAGACACTCGCATCCACCGCACCCGCCGCACCCGCAGTGAGACGTGCGTGCGTGGTGGCAGTCGTACCCCAATTTCCACTGGCACACCCAGAATCAGAATATTTATTTAGGCTGCAGGAGGAGACCGCTGAGCTACGAAGTTCCTTTTCAAAGATGTCCAGTAGGGGAGGGTAGGCTGAGCCAGGGTGGGGGGGGGGGGGCCCTCACGGTACGGGTGGTTTTCTGCTGGCCGTTTGCCGTGCCGACCCGGAACCAAACCGTGCCACGCTGGCCTTGCAAGACACCCGAACCTGGCACGGGTGCCAAGAGAGGCCAGGGGCGGGGGTTCTTGATGCGTTCATTGCGAGGGATTTCAGTCGATGCAACCCAAACCCAGCGACATCGCTTCGTCTACACGCATTGTCAATGTAAAAACGACCTGGCACCTTCGGGGGCCACGTGCCGGCTGACTCGGCACAGTCCCGGCACAGCTCGGTTGTACAGTGGAAAAGAGGTATTGGTGGCCACCTCGCTGCACAAGCACACTAGCCCACAGTCGTAGCTACACGTTGACAAACTCTAGCACATACAACAGGAGTACCTTCGGAGTGTATAAAAATGCACGCACAAACGAGAGCATTGTTGGTCTGTCCGGACTGTTGTTGTGAGGGTGATTTGCGAGCGCCTGTTACGACCAGAACGATGATGGGGTCGGTGCGACCAGTGCCATGTATGGCAATGTTCATTTTCCCTACTGCTCATTTACGACTGAGTCGACGAAGGTGAGATTCAGGCCAAGAATCGAACCCAGGTTTATGGGATTTTTAAGGTAGTGCACTGCCCACTGCAGTCCCACTCAATTCATATGTAGCACACACACACACACATGCTGAGTGGTACAGCGAGCATTACTTATATAACTTCATTAGCCCACGCTGATGTTTTACTTTTCTACCAACTCGTAGTGCTTCTACGTTGATCTCGACTGCTAGCTGGATTTAATTCGCACCGTCGTGGGTGCCGCAGGTGTAGCCCAGCCGTCGTGTGCAGCCGCGTGCGGAGCGATCGCCACTGCTGCGGTGGTAATGGTGGCGGTGGCGGCTTTAACGCTCGGACTGCGTTGCTTTGTTTCACGCGGTGATCTGATGGCTGCGCCCAGGAACGTTGTAACGCTGGCCTGCCCCCTCCTGCCCCTGCCTGCCCCCGGCGGTGCCCAGCGCGATGCGGTTTTTTCTCGCTGTTGCTGTCTGCAGGCTGTCAATTAACCATACAATAGGCGATGCTTCGGGCAGCGGCGTTTCTTCATAGCACATCGTACATTTGCGATGAAGAACGGCCATTTCCGGAAACGTGCCTGTTGTATATTTTAATTTTAAGGCCGCTGTTAACGACCGGTGTGTCGAGTTGTTTTTGTTGTCTGTGCGTGTGCTACCACTGCCAACGCAGCAGCAGCAGCAGGGTCGCCAAATGTTGCGAGCGTGTGATGAGTGCCCCACCCGGTTGCGCCGCGTTACCCCCACGGCAGCGAGCGATTAACACGATCACGCAGCGTTAATGATCGCGGATTCCAGTTCCGTCCTGCGTCACGGGAACTGATTCCCTCCTCGGCCGGGGAGGAGACGCGACGAGATGCAGGGGGCGTCCGTGCGCATTTCCCGACGCCGTGAATTTCATTTTTGACTCGGAAAGCGCGACTCGTCATTTCGGCTCTTGGCCATGGCTTAAAGAGGCGCGACCCTCGTGGCATTTGGAGGCGTCGAGCTCAAACCTCGCGTGCGCGCTGTAACGTACCCAACGACGATGGCAATCTGTGCGCTCCTCTTAATGGAATTCCGTTGGAGTGTTGCGGAGAGCAGTGCACTTTCAAGCTCCCGTGCTTCATCCGCCACCTGTCGAATCGCAGCGTCGTCAGGCGCTCCATCCGCGATCTGGATTTTAGGGAAAATCTGTAGTCAGTATGAGCACAGTGATAGGTCACTTATGTAAGTATAAAGTAAATATGCTGAATTTAAACGCGCTGTACAGAGTTACGTGTACCGGCGGTAACGCACGCCCGTTCCGAGTCGTGCGCCGGTCTTGCTTTTCGCTTGTGGTGTCATATATGACCTAACCATTGCAATGCAGGTGCACCCCTTTGTACAGATTATGAAAACAAGTGTATTTTTGTTGTACTGTTAATGTTTTTTTTTCTCAATGTTTCTCGAATAGAGGGATGGTTAATTGTAGATAAACGTAAAAATTTGGGTTTTGATTTTTATATTATTTTGTTTTGGACGCGGTTCGGACCCCAATAAATTTGCCTTCAACCCTGTGCCTTTGAATCGATGTAAACTACCGCAATTCATTTTGGCATCGCACATTCATTCATTATTTAACTTGTGTGTTCGCCAAATGAAATACGTGTACTGTACATAAAAGGAAGCGGCCAGTGTTTTGATGATTAGACACTAAGTAACTTTTACAACAACAACAAAAAAACCGACTACAATTCACTCTTAAGTCAAAACGTCCAAGGGTCTCCCTGCTTCAATGGGTGTTGGGTGGTGTTCATGCTCTGTAGGTTGTCGCGGACGTGCTGTATAGCCTCCGATGTGTTGTTCGGCACGGTGTCGTGATGTCCCGACGTTTCAGAAGAAGCTCTCGGCACGATGATGTCCAAAACGTCGAACCACGCCACACAACCCGAATACTGGCGTGGGGAGGTGGGCAGTTATTTTGTATACAGGAAATCTATTGTTGACTCACTCCACACGGTAGTGCTCATTGCACCGACCGCTGGAAGGATTATTAGCCGAGTTAACCGCCAACCAGGATTTGAACTTGTGACCTTCAGATTGCTGATCGAGTACTTGAGCCGCAGCGCCACCCGACCAACCTAAACTCCACTAACGCAAACTTGTGTTAAACCATTGTCGTTAGTGGCTACTGTTGGAAAGTAATGTAATAAATGAGCCTGTGCGTACTTTTGGGTTTCTCATGCTCAACACTTTTTGATCGCTGCCTTGTGTCCGTGTAATGTAAAAGCTATACTGGAATACGTAAAACATTTTAAAAGTTGTTTTTGTGTCAATGAACGCCTTGTGGCTGGAACCATTTGACAATCTTGAGCCAATATTCTTCCCCGCGGCATTTTTTTTGCGTTCTCTTCGTTTCAACGTCACGCCCTGCGAGAATTGGCAAAGTATTCTATGAACGGTGGTGGCAGGGTTCCCCCTGTCAGACTGGGCCGGTCCAAGCACCGCCTTCCTGGCCAGATTCAGAATATTTACACTGGAGGAATCCGGATGAGCTCTAAAGATCTTTTGTTTTTGCACAGATGTTTTGCAAAGTTCCGTGTTCCGGACTTATCATACCGGGTTTAACATAGTCCTGCTGCCATCGTGTGCCAGCGGCACGGTCCAGTTTCGGAACATAAATCCGCAAATTTCTAAATTGCCATTGCAATACAGCAATTATAACCGCATTGCTTTACCCAAGCCATTACTGGAAAAAGATCGCGTGCGGACCGGTGGCGAGTCGCATTGTGCCGCAGAGCCACATCCGCAACGAGGGCGGGGAGGGGTCCCTTGATGAGGATGTGATGCCGAGGACGTGATGCTGAGGCGCGTTTGAGGTGGCGAGCCATGTCAGCAAGTGCCCAGTGAATGTAAATATCCGGTGACAGGCGGGGCTGTGTTTGCAGTGCCGTTTTCCGCACTCGCACAATCAGAACTGTCGGCAACCTGTGTCATCCCGAAGGTGCGCACAAAAAAAGCAACTTGCTCAAATGTTATGAAATGTATTTTGAGTTTTGCTCTTATTTTTCAGAAAAACAGCGCGGCGAGTTCGTTTCGTTTTAAACGAATTTTGATGAAACAAAAGTAAGGCAATTTGCGTCGTTTTAATAGCCGGGAATGTTGCTAAGTTCTGTTCCCCGTCAGCTGTTTGATGACTGCGTGATTTTGGTTCACTTTGCAGCAACGTCACAAACATCTGTTGTCCGTGTCGCCACTGGCAGATGGATCATACATTCATAACGAATACAAGTGTTGTAAGAAGGTGATCGTTAAAAAAAATACCGTCACTCTTAAACCTACACAAGAGCCGTGTAAATATGCAAACTGCCTCAGTACGCAGTTTTTTGCTTATTTTTAGCATAAATGTACAGTTTTACAATTATATACATTAAATTTTGATTTAAAGCTTTCGTGACTGCAGTGATGCATATTCTTGTTTTTTTCGGTAAACAATAAAATAATAAAATATATTTTTATTTTATATATATGATTATTTTATTGTTTCCCTGTAACGTGACTTTACCGACAGAACCAATAATATAATTATATACATTGTCTAAATATGTTTCTAAACTATAGACTGCCTTCTGCGATGGAATTCAGACCGAACCCCCTTTTACAAAACGTGGTATGGTTCCCCTAAGGCTGCTGTGCTGAAGTTGGGCGACACCATTTCTTGTACAGGGGTGGGTCTCAATTCTCTCCGCAAGTGTTGCGTATGCTCGAGAAATAAATACCTTAACGTTGTTGTAGGCTGTCGCTTGCGAAAAGCGTAAACATGGGACCGTTCTAAAAGAGGCACATGAGAGTGGGAACCCCCATTAGAGAAGTGGTACATTACACACATCGTTGCCACATTTGTGATCCTTCGAGTCGCCTGTAGCCCCGGTCATGAATGGATCGTCATGGACACAGGACATGCACGTGACTGGGACGCCTACACTTGGCCATGGCATTGTGATACTTCACGTGTGTTTATAATAAAGATCGGCGTTTCAGAACAAGCTTAAAGGTCAACGTTATTTGTGCACCACTGCGAACGCACCATATAACTGGTTTAGTACACACTCCATTGAACCTGAAGGCAGTACAGCAAACAATGTTGCTCGCACATGATGATGTGTGAGCAAAGGGTACCCACCTACTCAAATACCCACCCACCAACTCGCCTATCAACCCACTAACTCATCAACTCCTCCACCCACGTATTCATCTATCCTTCCACCAACTCACCCACCAACTCATCCGCCCATCAACTCACCCATCCACCAACTCATCCACCCACCCCATCAACCAACTCATCTATCCACCCTTCAGCTGATCCACCCACCAGCAAGATGGTGAACGAGCAATTGAAGGGGGGGGGGGGGGTCAGACATTTGTGACGATGTGTGACGAGGGGGGGGAGGTGAGAAATGTGACGTCACATCAAAATGCGCAACTTGAAATAAATATAGACAACACGTTCTACTTACTTAAATAGACTTTTTAATAAATGTTTTCTCCTACAACATCAGAGTGCAGCGGCACATTAAATACGCGCTACAATGACAATAGTTTAAAGCGATTTGAAGCATGTTTCATTTTTTGTGGGGGGGGGCAGAGCTTTTTGAGGGGGGGGTCTGACTTTTTGTGACGCTGTGTGACGATTGGGGGGGGGGGTCAAAAATCGCGTGACGTCATTTATGGACGGCCTCCTAAATATTCCGATCCACACCGCACGCACGCGGTCGCGTTTCCCACGGCGCGCTCATTGGCCAAGGGGCTCGCGAGCCGCTCGACACGACGTGGCGCGCGATTGGTCGGAACCGTGGCGCGCGGCAGCTCGATGGACCAATTGGGACGCGAGGAAACGCGCGCCCCCTCGCGGGCGGCGCCCGGCGTCGGAAGTTGTTCGGCAGCAGCAGCGGCGACGGCGGCGACATCCCCCCTGAGGCTCCTCGAATCGCGAGCGCCTTGAAGCCGCCAAACCCGAGGAGCGGATGGCCGACACCGATTCTAAGTCGATGCAAGAAGTCGCCACTGTCGTAAGAGCGATCGCGTTGCCGTTCGTTGTTGTTTTTTTCTCGAAGCTTTGTTCGGAGTTCAAAGTTCCGTGTTGCGGCCTAGTCGTTGTCGGTGTACCCCTACCTCCCCCCCGTCTTGCCTGGTGCTGCGTGCCCGGGGGCCCCGCGCTCGGCTCGGCTGCCTCTGCTAGCCCTTGCTGCTTCGTTATCGAATCTGTTAATACAATTTTAATGCGTGTCGTGTTATTGTCGGCGTACGTTTGTGTTTAATACTGCGTAAAGAATGCGTGAAAGTGACGTTATATGTGAAAGTGTTGGCATTGGTTAAAACTGAACGAGGCAGGTGATGGTGGTGACAGCGATGATGTAATGGAGAGTCATCGCAACATGAAGGTTCAAGTAGCGCTGTGGCTACTGCGTTCGTACTCGCATTAGTACTAATACAGTGCTAACAAAATAACAATCACTGAAATAACTTGAATACGGGGATGTAAACAAGTTATTAGGCGAAGCCGTTGGGTTGATTTGCTGAAGGCATCGCCTTTGCGATACTTTTCGCGAAATCACCACTTAATTCCACTCCGATTTACGCGGGGCTCTGATAACTCGTGGTGATGTCATGCAGTTGGCCACACGACTTTCCCCATTCAACCCACACTGACCAGCACGGTGAAGTATGGCAAAACAACCCTCCCTGCCCGACACGCTGTGCAGAGGCCTCTTATCTTGCAGTGGATTGACAGAGAGTGGGTGGCGTCTTGCCAGCACGAGACGGTTTACATATGTAAATAAAAAATTGCGTGTGTCAAAAGAAAAACAATGATCAGTAACAACGGGTTACTTTGGGTTGCTGTTTGTAGGACGCGTGTTGGTACGCGCAGTTGCTTAGCAGCAACTTCTTAGTCCTCTACACCAGCGCTGAAAGTTCACGAGGGGTGGTGGTGGTGGTGGGGGGCATTGTAATGCATTTCGCCTTTTCATCTGTTCAAAAACATGGGAGCAAAAAAAAACACAAATTTGTCTCGGCACTCGTGACGTGTCGTCACGTGCAATGCGGTTGAGAACCACTGATTATAAACTGCTCAGTGTCAATCCTCCGCAGCATGAACGCCTCCCCAACACTGTGTGTGTCAGTCATGGAACTGTTGGAGCCTGGTCCCGGTTGGCCAGCAGCACACATTGTTGACGCTAACTCTGGAATTTTTGTCGCAGGTGGAGAACCTCTTGCAGCAAATGCAGGAGAAGTTTCAGGCCATGTCGGATCAAATCCTCGGCAGGAATATCCTTCATTAGAGGCGGCAGAAATGTCTCCTTTTGACAAATTTTTTGTCTGCCTCACGATCGTCATCGCCATCACACGCATCAATTTAAATCAGAAATTATTGTTTATCTTGTAGTTAGGTTCCTACGTCGTGTCCCGTGCTGGCCTGCATTCGTTTAAAGCTTCTTTAATGAGAAAAAAAACATACTTAAGTGGTTCTGTCTGTCACACACGAGGAATGCCTCTGTTGTGATTTAATTTTACGTGGAAGTTCTGAACCATGGCAGCGTATACGTCTAATACAATTCGGCCTGACCGCTGTCAGGTCCATGAACGAGTGCCTAGTTAGCTGTGTTGTGACAGTCAGGGGTGCGTGCGTGTGAGCAGTCGCTGTGACCGTGTCCTTCCTTAACCGCGGCGCTCGCGCTCACTCGACGAAATGAACTCACGGATCGACGACCTGGAGAAGAACGTGGCGGAGCTGATGACCCACGTGGATGGGGAGGAGGAAGGGGGCGTTGAAAACAAGGTGTGATGTCACGAGAAGTGGTGGCACATCGCGTTACGATCGCATGTTTGAAGCAAGCGGGTTTAAAATTACACACGTAATATTTTCAATATATATGTTTAAGTAAAAAAATATGCAAGTTTTTATGTGTTTAGGTTTTTTTGTGAGACCTTTTTTTGTCTTCCCCAAATCTGCAGGACCCAAATTAACGCGGTGCAGGCTTACAGACCACAACGTGCTGGTGTATTAGCGGCGTGGGTGTATGCTGGGTGATCGCACGCACGGTAGGGAACGGGGGGAGGGGTGGACTGCTGCATCACCCTCAGCCGATAGAGAAACTCGTGAAGACCACCTCGCTTGCCGCTTTGCATCCCTCAAGTATTGTGAATTTCGCACACAACGGCAGCGTAGAAGCTCACGAAATCGGTAAATACTCGAAACATTATGGCCGGTTAGGGAAAGCAACCACATCGGTTGTGAATTTGTCCTCTTTACAACTAGCATAAACAGGCTCTCTTGCGCAGTGGCAGTAAGGATCTGGGTATGATGATTGTTCTACGTGAAATAGTTGTATTTATTTTTTACCTTCCAACTCTTACCAACGAAAGTGGAATGGTGCCGATCTCAGGTGGCAACCCTAAGGCATTTTTCGAAATTCCTCATTCATCTCTGCATGGTCAACTTCCCAATAATTACTTCTGATTTGATCAACCTCAGAGATGAAGACGGACGGAGTCATTCCACAACGGGGATCTCAACTTGCTGCCACATACATTTTCCATGTTGAGGAGTCTCTTATATTTCTTTCCTCACGTTATCTCAGTTGTGCGAGCGGTGTCACGTCCACGAGACAGGAGGCCTGTGGGCACAGTGATGCAACGCCCCACGGAAGCGGATTGCGCAAGAGCTACCTCCGAGATTCCTTCGGGCACCTTGATCCGCACAGTAGAGGGCAGCACTTTTCCAGCCACCGATTGTAACGTTCATCGCCCGACAAGCAAACCGACGTTTTTTTCATTATTGCCGCTGGTATGTATCCAAATTAAGTGCAGAACTAAATTTTAGTCTTGTATTTTATGGTGCATTTGTTGGTGACCTGGTTGAGACCATCAATTTCAGTACAACTTGAGAACCCGATTCAATCGCAGGTGGCTGCAACCTGGATTTGAACCCAAATTTGTTCGTCAGCAGTGCCGATTCCGTGCTCTGACCTCTGTGCCCCCGGGGCCACCTCCGAGCATTTTCTTATTTTTATATCGTGTTCGGCTGCATCTGGGATGACGCCTCTGGTGAGGTTGTGGGCTGTGGACTCGGGGCTTACTGGTTCACTGAGCAGCAGCGTGCTTAGAACGTAGAGGTGTACGAATGGAATGTTATCTACAACGGAGTCGAGATTTTTTAATTCCAGAATTGTCTTGGCGGTCGTTACAAATGTTTGCCATCTGCTGCGAAGCGGATGCTGCACGTCTCATTTATGTCTAAAATTAAATTGTTGATTCCTAACGAAACTTAGTTGCAGGCATTTCTTTTTAAATAAACCCAATTGTGCTAGCTCCACTTGTTGCACATTTCGTCTGTTATGCTCTGTGTCAAATCCCTACGGTTTTTACACCCTCCGATTCGCACTGTAGGCTACGTGCGGTGCGAAGGACGCTCTACATACGTCAGACCAAGTTTGCTTCCACACCGTTGCTTGAACACAGTAATGGTTTAACAAGTAGGCTTTTGCGACCGATATCATCCATGATACAGGTTTTTTTGGGTTAGATCGCGTAAATATATAAATGTGTCCTTAAACCCGCCACCACCCGACAGCCAACTCGTAAGGTTTGTCACGTAAACAGAATTGGCATGTTCTGTGTACGTGACAAACCTTAATAATTGGCGGTGTCGGGTGGTGGCGAGTTGAACGACATATCTACGCGATCTCATCCAAGAGAACCTGTGTTATGGAGAGTAAGAGACGTGATCACACTTAGCTGATACTGGGGAAGCTCTCAGCAGACGATACAGAAGTCAATACTGTAAAAAACAATCACCATTATAAACTGGAATCGAACTCAGAACCTTTGAGGCTGACGGCACAATGTTGATGACCACAATGGACCCCTTTCCTGTCGCCACTATTAAACTAAGCCTTGCACCAGTGTCTGCTTGTCGAGCCTTTGAACTTTACGGTTTTTTGAACACCCAACATTTCACACAAATTGGGAGCATTGTTTTTATGTCAAGGTGTTGAGGTTTTGTTGAACAGGAATTCTCAAACTGCAGTTTTAATGCTGCAGATTCTCATGTTTAAACATGGCCACGTGTCGTGACGACCTGTTACATTTTTTTACTGCAGAAGATTGGCAAGCGGTGCAGAGACGGTCATAGAGACTGGTGTTTGGGAAGTTCTCTTTTGGAATATGAATTTACAGCGTTTACCTTGAGGATAGTATTTTTTTTGTACTGTAATGCTGTACGTTGTAAAGATTTTTGTTATTTAACTTTGGAAATAAATACACTAACCAACGGTAACAGCTCAATCTTGATTTGAAGCTTTCGTGACTGTGGAAATCCATACTCTTTGGTTCTTTCGGTAAAGTCACGTAGGTAGAAATAAAATAAAAAAAATCCTATCACGACGTTTTGATCGCAACACAAGCGGTCGTCCTCGGGCTGGATTATTTTTTTCTGCCCGAGGACGACCGCTTGTGTTGCGATCGAAACATCGCGAGTTATATATTTTTTTCATTTAATTTTTCTACCCACGTGACTTTACCAAAAGATCCAAAGGTAACAGTAACAGCTAGTGGCAGGTCAGCTTGTATTGTCAGCATGGGATGAGTGAATTTACATTGTTGGCGTTCATGTACACAACATATACAACAACAGTTTAGTTTTTATTCCTATCCATGCACTTCCAATAAGCACGGTTGGCTACGTACGGCACGAAATAAGTTCAATGTACAGCGGGTGCCGATCTCCCCCTCATTTCCCGATTAATGTTTGTGTTTTAGTCCTTTGCAAAATGTAAATTTTACATTTTTAAACTTAGCAATCTTAAGAGAGCCTTGTAGGTTTAAGATTATGTTTTGCACAGATTACGTGGGGTTAATGTATATTCATGCTGTGTGTAAACATTAATGTACATTCATGCTGTGTGTAAACATCAACTTACACCGAGCTCTGGAGACAGTGCGGCTCTGAATCAAAAGGTGGTGCGTTTATGTCATGGCCAGGATTAACTTATTGTAATCATCATCCTCCCCCGTGGGGATGTGTAAAATAAGTACCACCACTTATTGGTTTTACACCACTTAGTGAGAGCAGTAAATACTCAATTGTCCTGTGGCTATACTAGCTCCTGCCATGGCAATGGGGAATTCATTTTAACCAAATTCTGGCTCTGGAACTGTCGATGCGAAGGACACTGGGCATGCGGTCACCAGACGTTTTTACTTTGGCGTTTTAACAAACATTTCACGAGAAATGTAAACCCTAAATCGCACAAACCGAACCCGCATAAAGCGAGGGGGACCTGTACGGGGCTCATAACCGAGGGGGCATTGCCGCTCTCGTTCCCGCAGAGGGCGCCAGATTACTGACAACCCTTCGAGAGCGCCACAGCAAAGGAATCTTATGGCGGGACCCCGGGGTCCCGAATAAACGGAAGTCGAAATCGTAATTTTATGTTTGGCGACTCCGTCCCCACCGCGCACATAAACGCCGTGACCCACCTGGCGCGGATCGTTCTGTTGTCGTCCAAGCGCAGCTGAACAAGCGAATGCGCTCCATGCTCGGGTATGGGCAGGATCACGAGTCTTGTCCAAAGCTGCTCAAGCTGCCGACACGACTCAAGTGCTTGTCATCACGGTATGAATAATACAATGAAACTGCTCTCTTATCTTCATTATTATTTGTGACCTACCAATGTTTGCAGCCAGGATCAATCGATGACAATCCTATTACCTGCAGATATTTAACAGATGAGATGCGTTGCCCCGTTAATTCCTCCTGTTTGATAATACTTCTCTTGTCCGTATGCATCTGTGCAGATAGGTTTTTTATTGCGGCTAAGCCATAGTCCCCACCTACCGCTCGTATCAATGCGGATAAGAGGAGTGGCGACCCACTACTCTGTAGAGTAACATTGGTATAAACGCTTGTTACAATATGAACAGCGCATTGAAAACGCGTACTGTTTTATGTACTGTTTACGAAGTGTGTTCACGAATCCACACTGAGAAACACGACGATTGACGGAGGGGTGTAAATTATTTTTCCGAAAGTGTATTTCAATAGAGGTACTGCAGGTTAAGTAGTTTTCAGTTTTAAAGGCATAGTTTAACAAGACATCACTTGCTACCATCCTTCAAACCCATTGGTGAAAAAGAACAAAGTTTTTGTTTACATTATAATATCATGTAAACAATATGTTTATATTATATGTAATGTAATGTTTACATTATAATATGTTTACATTATAATGTAATGTTTATATTATAATATAATGTTTATATTATATATATGTTTACATTATCATATAATGTTTATATTATAATGTAATGTTTACATTAATGTAATGTTTACATTATAATATGTTTATATTATATGTAATATAATGTTTACATTATAATATAATGTTTAGATTATATTTAATATAATGTTTACATTATTATATAATGTTTATGCGAGAGCCGGGGGCTTACGGGACCCCGGGTCTCGAAATGTGGTTCAAATGCTGCAGGACATGAGGACACCACAGGTACTCTTACTTACGAACATTCGACTTGCGAACTTTCAAAGATACGAACAAACATGTCCGTATGCCATGTAGATGCCACATGAAGAACCAGTGGCATCTCTATCTGCGGAACATGAAGAACCAGTGGCATCTACAGGAGATTATACAACTTTTAAAGCCATTCGCCCGTGTTTAGTGTACATGTAGAAAATGTTTGGAATCGAGGGGAGTAAAGTTCTACTTACGAACAGGTCGACTTATGAACAGACCTCTGGATCCTAACTCGTTCGTAAATAGATGATTCCCTGTACTGGACTACTGCCTGCAGTGCAGAGTCCCAACTACATTTAAGTACAATGTGTGTGTGGCAAATCCGTAAGCTCGCTATGCATACATCAGTATCTTATTATTAGTGATGACCAACAGCCGGGAGTACATCGGAGTGATACAAAAAGAGGAACCCACGCATTGGAGAACACACGCAGGTGAAGGACGCAGTTCAGATTATTAGGGAAATGTAAGTTGGCTTGAGCAGGACACGTGACTAAGAGAGGATGAGCACGTGGAGCGAAACGTCGGACATCGTGCCGAACAACCTGCGGTACGACCCGAAAAACACATTTCAGAGATGTACAGCACAACCGCGAATGCATGTGCCAGTAGTGAAATTACGTTTGTGAATCCCATGTGTTTGTTATAATAAACACAACACGGTGTTTGAAGTAACAATGTAAGGTCGGTGGGGCAAGAGGCCCTGATCCCCCGTGCTCACGCAGGCGATGCCTTACGCCACGATCACCTTGGGGTGCAGATTGGTGCCCTCGAAACGAGGCATCTGCTGTTACCGTTCCTGCTGTCTGCAGCTCGACGGGCGAACCACGTGTGATGGGCGAACCACGTGTGACGGGCGAACCACGTGTGACGGGCGAACCACGTGTGATGGGCGAACCACGTATGATGGGCGAACCACGTGTGATGGGCGAACCACGAGTCTTTGAAGCTTTTATTTTCTACCAGGTGAAGCTCTGAACTGTTTCCTCTTCTTCAGAAGCGAGCTGGCCGAACGTGATGATAGCTCACCGCCGAAGTCACTGATGCCATCGTTATCGCCACCACACGTGGACATTTATCGTAGCCACCGAGTCATTAAGACGCGTGTTGCGTCTCGAAGTGGAGGAGGGAGGGAAACACCGAAGGACGACCCCCACGCGACCACCACGGGGAGAGAGAAAACGCGCGGACTCCAAATATCGAGCAGACATCGTCAGGGTCCGGGATCGAACCCACGTGCTGCATGGCAGGCGAGGAAGGTGACATCTCCTCGCCACCGCATCATCATCATCATCCATAAAGACCTTGTTACACCACATAGGCCTCTTACCCCATCCTACGGTTGTCTTGCCACGAGTTTTCTCCAGGGCAGATAAAGCCCCAGTCACACACGAATGGCATGACATAGCGACTTGTAATGTTTCATCTCGCGCAGGTAACAGTGAACACGGCGTCCACGACGTGGGACGGGGAGATCCAGACATGGACATTGCAGAACGAGCTTATTAAACACCTGGGTTCAACTGCAAAATAGCAATTCTCATGATTCATTTGTGATGAATTAAATGCGCACTTAGCCTTTGCTATTACGTGATCGGGGTTTTGGAGAGAAATTCATGATTTGCACTCGGCCTTTCGAGAACATTGTTTGCAATGTACATGTTATGTAATGTACATTGCAAATCGGAGATGCGTGTGATGTGTGTCATGATGTGGGATGTGATGATATGGGGAGCGGTGGTGTAGCGGTTAGCGCGCTGCACTACATACCCGGCCATCCGAGTTCGATTCACGCTCACGGCCAACGCCAGTGACAATTATTTGAATCATTCCTGCCCCTCCCCTAGGTCGACTCAGCCTCAAATTAGTACCTGGTGCGGGGTGTAAACATCGCCACTGGGGAAACAAAGGCGGCCGGGTGTGGTGCTGGCCACCCACCCCCTCGTGTGCCGTGCCGGCCTTCATAGGTGCTCGCTAACAGCACTTGCCCCAACAGTCTGTGAAGGCTACACGGGGCATCTTTGTCTTTGTGATAATGCGCGTGTGATGATGTCACCGAGGGGCGATGACGCGCGCGCCGATTTGCACGCGAAGACGCGGATTTGTTGAACTGCTCCGCTTCCGCGAGGTGTTATAACGCTCCAGATGTGATCATTTTCAACCGCGCCTGCCAATTAGCCTCAAGCGGTCGCTTGTGCAATGTAACGATGATTGTGAACGTCTGGAAGGGCAGGATTAATTAATTATATATCGTTCCACGGATGATGTGGGTTGGTATACTTGCGTGATTTACAGCCGCCGGCTGGCTGCACGTGCCTGCAGAACGTAACGATGCCACATTGGCAGGCTATAGCGTATCGCGTGAGCGCAATTAGCTACACAGCTAATGTACGGTTCCAGATTTGCCTAATGTGCGATGTGGTCGTGATGTGCAATGCGTCGCTTTGCAGATGTCACGTCGAGTCTGCATGCGTGCCAAAGACACGTCTGGAATATGCATCCCTGCAAAAGCTGCTTCTATAGCAGCGACACGTTCTTAACGTTACGCTCAACACGTTCGTCAAGAGCACCGTGTGGCCTAATGAGGGAACATGCAATAGGCGACGTTTCGGGCAATGACCCTTCTCCACAGCACACATTTAGAGAGGATAGAGAGGTCGTCCCTCTGTGTGTGTTTCTCTGGCCCCTCTCCTTAGGGTGACAATCTCCAGATACATTTTTGTAAAGTGGGCATCCGACC